GAGTATTCCCTTCCATTCTTTTCTTCTGTGTTTGGTTTTATTGCTTCTAGAACTTTCCAGGTGGCCATGTGTTGTCTGAATAGCTTCTCCTTGTGCCCTAACAGGACAACAAGACTCTGACTTTGTTGCGAGGGAGCTGCAGTGATGGGAAGGGCTTTCTCTGAATAGCCACCAGCAGAGCCCTGTAGACAGAGAAAGTCATTGTTTTGAGTCCACTGTGGCGCTGGTGGCCATCCCAGGGGACATGGCCAGAGACCGGCCCCCTTGCTGCTCCCTGGTGCCGGAGCTCACTCATGTTCCAGTCTACCATCTGTTTTCTCTTCCCCAAGGGTGAAGCCACACTTGCTTCCAGCCTGACGCAGACTGGTGAGCTGAAGTAGGACGCTGACATCCCTCTGCTGGCAGCATGGCTTCAGTAACCAGCGGGGACTGCCCAGGTAGTCGCCCCTTCTCTGACTGCTTCCTACTTGTGCCCTAGAATGAGGGCAGTGTCTCCAGGCTGAGTTAACCTAGAGGTATTAAAACCCAAGAAGGGGTTGACAAACATCCCCGAGCCCCCATGAGGGGCTGAGGGGAGGCCCCTACTACGGGATTTGTGCCCACAGGCTCCTTCAATGCCCTCTCCTCAAGGGGCCACGGCCAAGGTGCTCACTCCTTCCCTCCCACCGCACAGCAGATGCTCAGGAGTTGGGCAGCGGAAGTCCTGGGAAAGGGGTGACAGTAGTGAGGGGCGTCCCAATGCAGGCTGGGTACAGAGAGGAGGTTGACCAGCAAACCTGGAGGCTTCTCTGCCCTCTCCCTTTGTCCAGGCTCCTCTTGCTCCCAGATGCTGGACTGTTACCAGTTTAACCTCTTTTCTCCACTGTCGCCCTGCTGCCAGCCCCACCACTCTGCCAGGGTCAGCGGACCCCTGAACAAAACCACAGTCTGGCCTTTGCCACCTGCCACCTGTGTGACCTGGAGCGCCGTCCCTGACCTCCCACGTAAAATGGGAATGATATTCCCACGTGTTGTTCTGAGGATCAAATATAACATAGGTCTGTGGCTGGGCCAGTGCCTGCCCCGGAGCAGGTCCTCCTGAGTATTGTTGCTGTCCCTGTTTGTCGTGGGTGGAACCTACCTGCACCCCAGGATTCTCACCTCCCACCCCGAAGGTTCCCTCAGGGCACCTGTTAACCAGGCGGGACTGCCTCAGG